CCTGTGTCTGGCAGTTCACAGGCTCTTGTAGTTCCAGCTCCTCACGTCTTCTGGCCTCTCTGGGCACCTGTACACGGGTGTCCCTCACACAGGTGTCCCTCACACAGGTGACCTACACACTGGTGGCCCTCACACCGGTGTCCCTCACACAGGTGACCCGCACACAGGTGGCCCTCACACTGGTGGCCCTCACACTGGTGGCCCTCACACAGGTGGCCCTCACACAGGTAGCCTGCATACAGGTGGCCCTCACAGGTGACCCGCACACAGGTGGCCCTCACACAGGTGGCCCTCACACAGGTGACCCTCACACAGGTGGCCCTCACACAGGTGGCCCTCACACAGGTGGCCCACACACACATACACATCAATAAAAACAATCACTCTGTAGGCCTCACTTCCTGGGTTTAGTCTGCCATGGAAGAAGGAGATTGTCTGCTTGAACTTACTCATCTTCCGTGAGTTAGCAGTGGTTCCTGGCGGCTCCACAGTGCACTGTGTGCTCACATATGGCAGTTACCTAGTTTGGGGCTATCGTGGTCCAGTTAGTTACAGAACAACAAGCTTCCTCTAGGTTTTGTTTCTGTTTCTTTTTGAGGTAGGGTCTCATGTGGCACAGGCTAGCCTCATTTTACCCAATAGTTCAGTATGGACTTGAACTCCCCCAGATCCTGCTGTCTCGGCCTCTCTAATGCTTGGATGAAAGGCAGGCCGCACCATGGCTGACTGTTGTGCTGACTGTTTTGCAAATGACGCTTTTCCTTCATTCCGCTGGATCTTCCTTCATTTGCCAAGAATCCTTGAAGACCTAGTTTCCTTCCTTCCTTTTTATGTTCTTTATAAATACATTATTATTACGTTGACCAGGACACAGGATGTAAGCTTTGCTGTTGTTTTTTTGTCATTATTTCAGGGTCTGATTATATCGCCCAGCCTGCCCTTGAAGCCCCCAAATTCAGGAGTTGTAGGTATGCACTACCATTCTAGCTGTGCTAGATTCTTTAGAGAAACTGGGTCCCGTCTTCAAAGTCATGCTCAGCTCTGGCTTCGGTCGCCTCTCTGACTATATGGACTATATGGAGTTCTTTGTTTAAGACTGGAAACATTTACTAGTTGCTGTTTTTTCTTTATACAGCTGTGTGCAAAACACTGCTGTAATCATGTCAGTGTTGTGTCAGCATGAGAGAGGTAAGTGGGGAAGTCAAGGTCACGTGGGTGTGGTGGTACAGAGCTGGGGCTCGGACCAGTTCAAGAATGATGTGAGGGTGGGTGGGTGGGGAACAGGGTGCCCCGAGAATGGACATTGGACAGGGTCTTGGTAAAATGGCCTTCTAAAGTTTTTCTCATGTGATGAAATTAATCTCCCATATATAATTCCCCATGTCACTGAGAATTCAAGGTCTTAATTTGCAGTGTTATTTTACTTCATAACGACGAAGCTCTTAGAACAAACAAGTTTTGATGCGGCGGGGTGGGCGGTGGGGTAGGTAGGTGATAACAATTTGAGGCAAACTGTGTACTTGCTTTCTTGTAAAATATCCACAGTGCCTATGTATTTGAATTTCCTCATAACAATGGAACAAAGACTGTATGTGGCAGTGTGTGTCTTCCAAGACTGTGTCTGACTGTGTGTGTGTAACCTCAAACGACTGTGTGTGGCCTCAACGACTGTGTGTGGCTGTGTGTCGACTGTGAAACAGTGAGGCCTCACGTGCTCTCTGTGCAACAGATCTGCTCACCAAACCCTGGAGTCTCCTTTGAATCAGTCTCTCTCTGTGTTTTCATGTTCCTTTCTGACAGCATGCTTTACCCAGTGAGTTTACTTGGATTGGTCTCTGTCAGTATTACTTCCCCCCAAGAACTCAGTTCCTGTTGATTGATCAGCAACACGAATAGATTGTGTTTTTATTTCCAGTGTGATAAGAAGTAGTGAGTGAGAGAAGTTCACATCTCTTCTGTTTACTGCTGCGATGTAGGTTTGAGCGGCGGCAATGGGGTGGAGCCACATGAGGTAAATACGTGGACTGGTCGGTGAAGGAGCAGCTCTATATCTGTTGATTTCTTCCATATCCCTTGTGTTTTGGTTGTTGTTGTTGAGCTGGGGAGCAAATATATACAGACTTGTACACGCACACGCACACACACACACTGGATAGAAGTATGAGAGTCTCTGAAGTGTTACCACTGGAAAGGAACATGGACTTCCTAAGCTTTCAGAGAAGCTTCGTTAGCTTTGTGAAGATGCAGTTCCACGCCAGCTGTCATGAGTAGGACAGTAATAGGAAAAATTGTTTGAAGGGTGGGGCCCAGGCCGTTTGTCACTGTCAGGTGCATTGGGAGCCCCCAGTAGCTCCAGAGGCTGGTGAGGCTGGGCATTGCTATTTTGATACTGCCTGCCTTTAAGTGGGGAGACCAGGAGCTCTGACCCCAAAGGACAAAGCTCTGTGTGCAGATGTGAGCACGTCTCAGAGATGGAAGGCCAAACCTACCAAGTCTGCTGCTGGCCTCTTCTGCAGATGCCCATGGCAAGGGAGCGAGAACCTTACTTTCCCCTGTAAGCCGAGGTGTGTGTGTGTGTGTGTGTGTGTGTGTGTGTGTGTGTGTGTGTGTGTCTTTCTGTACTTAAAACTTCATCTCAAGTAATTGGAGTACTATCAGTTGGATTAATGTAAAGAACTCCTTTTACTTTTCTCTTAAAATATTTCAAGGTTCAACTTTGTAGTAATGAAAGGTTCTTAAGCTTATTATAATATGGGCAAGAAAAGCAATGGCCTGCTTATGACTCAGGCCAGCAGTGCCATCTACAGGCAACAACCTCAAATTACAACTAAGAACCAGCATGTGTGTGAAAAGTACTCCTTCCTCACTCATTTACAACTTGGGGCTTATATAATCAGAAGGGGTTCTTATTTCTCCAAACATAGCAATCACTGTGGTCTTCTGTAAGGCCTTTCAGTGTATAATTTTTAAAACATAGTAACATTGAAAATTGCTAAAATGTGTAAAAAATTTTTTTTGTATTGTCAGCTATTATTTCTGGTAAAAGCTGGGCTTATTGTTTAAATGGTATAAATCTTTAACACAAATAGGGTAAGCAGATGTAGAAAAGTCAACTCATGGCAAGAATGTGATCAGCTAATAAGTTACCTTGTCCACACATATTGTGTGGTGCTACAGTAATAGTCTGACAATTTGTGTACCACTTCAAACATTTCATCCAGCAGTCAACAAACTTGAATTGATCCAGTTGGAAAGATTAATTAGTATGTGTGAAATCTTTGAACATAAGTGTGAATTATATTTTAAAACCTTAACAATTTCAAAAATATCAAACCAATTTCTATTTTACCTTTGGCCCTACCAACACACATTGGTTTGGATTTAGCATGAAGCATCCACTAACTAATCTTTTACATTTGTTCTGATTTTCTGTGTATGAGTGTCTGGCTGTATCTAAGTGTGTGTACTGTGTATGTGCTTAGTGCCTGAGGAGACCCAAGGAGGCCACTGGATCCCCAGAACTGCAGTTATAGATGGTTGTGGGTGCTGGGAACTGCACTCTGGTCCTCTACAAGAGTAGCAAGCACTTTTGACTGCTTATCTATCTTTCCGGCCATTACACTAGTCTCATTTTTGATAATTCTCAGCCTCACATTGGAGCTTCTAAAAGGTGTCATAGTTGTTATCTGTCTGTCAAGCCAAGCCAGTGTTTTCAGGAGCCACAATTCTTTATGGCATCAGTTCTCTGTGCAGCCTTCTTTTCCAGTTGTAAAAGTCATGTAGCATATTTATGCTTGGAATTCAGGTTGCAGTCCTTCTCTGGAGACTCGGCCCTGGAAAGTGTCACTTCAAACAAGCTGCAGTACAATTTTCAGGTATTACATTTGTTAGTGAAGAGTTTTTCCTTTTGAAGGGCTCTCCTGAGGCTCACCTCATTTTCATTTCTGTCTGTGGTACCTTCATCAGGGAATTTTCGGTCACTTTGTTTTGTCTGCTAAAATAACCAGTAACCCCATTATCAGGAAATTTGGGCTTTCCTGTTTCTCTCTTCCTGTGGTGTTTGGTTTCCTAGGTGTCTGCTGACCAGGCCCATTCCTCCAGTGCTGTGCAGAGTCCCTAACACGTTCAGATAGTCATCATCACTGCCCAGAAAGCTTGGAGAAAAGTTTAGATTTTGCCTGTTGGCTAAGGTGGCTAAGCCACGAACCTCCTCTGATTACACAGGTCCCTGGGTGAACTCCCCTGGTCTGTAGCCCTGGCTTCTCTGCGCTTTAGAGGTGCATATCCAACTGTCTGCTTTCTGTTTTTAATGTCTTTACCCTGATGGCAGCTCAAGCATGCCCTGACAAGGAGGACATCCTTGGTGTCATGACCCTTACCACGTCTCTTCCAAAGGCTTGCCCATCTTAGCTATTGGCATCACTGACTACCCATTTGCTCAGTCAAAAGCCTTGGACAGTCTTCAGCTTCTCCCTTCCTCAAGGTCAACATCAACTGATCAGCCCTGGCCATTGTACTTACTTTTAGCTCTTACTGAGGCAACCGAGTCACTTCTCAACTGGTTTTTCCCCCCTGCATTTGCCCTGTCCACATTTGTGTTACCTGCTGTCTCATTACCTTGTTTTCAAAACCGTAGTTAACATCTGACATTATTCATGCCTTGGTTGTGTCTGGATTCCCTCTGCAAGGCAGATCTCTATAGTAAGCCCCATAGGTCAGAAGCTTTGTTTCACAGTTACTGAAGCTCTGGGCCATTTTATATGAATGCAGGAAGGGAGGGAGGGAGGGAGAGGGGAAGAAAGGGAGGGAGAAATGAATCTAGCCCTTTTGTTGCTGTTTTATTTTGTGTTTTGAGACCTGGTCTTGCTATGCGGCTCAGGTTGGTCTCAGATTCAATGATCTATCTCAGCCTCCAAAGTGCCGGGATTACAGGCATGTGCCACCACACCTGGCTGCTGGCAAAACAAAACAAAACAAGCCTTTAGTGTTTTTCTTGAGGATCAGTTGTATAGTGTTGGAAGACAACTATTTAATAATGTGCTCTTCAGAATGATTCTGGGTATAATAATCTTCAAAACATGGAATCATTTGAAACTCTTGTATCTTGTACCCTGAGATGGTTCAGAGGGCTTTTCTGCAGAAAATCCTCTTCATTTGCCTTGAGTTGTTCTTCCATCAAAGGTCACCTTCAATGAAGAGGAAATTGATACCAGGCTTGATTAACAGATCTTAAAACTAGAAACTTTAAATGCGTTCCTAATGATCTTGAAATTCTATACTTAAAAAAAATCAATGACTGCTAAGAAATAGAAAGGCATCCATTTGCTTGCAAATTTCATGATGTCATTGTTTTCTACTGCTGAGTGCAAATAAACCACATTTTCCCAGACCCAGAAAGACCAACATGGTATGTACACACTTATAATAGATATTAGATGTAAAGCAAAGACAACCATGCTACAATCCACAGCCCCACAAAGAGGACCCTACGAGGGATGCATGAATTTCCCTGGGAAGGGGAAATAGATGACATCTCCTGGGTAAACTGGGAGTAGGGGAGGTGGAGGAAAGGGGATGGGGGAAGGGAACATGAGGGATTGGGTTGGTTGAGTTGGGGACAAGATGGAGGAGCAGAGTAATGAAAAAGATATCTTGATAGAGGGGGGCATTTTGGAGTTAGGGAGAAACCTGGTGCCAGGGGAACTCTCAGGAATCCACAAGGGTGACCCCAGTTAAGACTCCTAGCAATAGTGGAGAGGGTGCCTGAACTGATCTTCTCCTGTAATCAGATTGGTGACTACCCTAATTGTCATCATAGAGCCTTCATCCAGTAACTGATGGAAGCAGATGCAGAGATCCACAACCAAGCACTGGGATGAGCTTCCGGAGTCCAGTTGACAAGAGAGAGGAGGGATTGTATGAGCTGGGGTGGGGTGGGGGTGGGCTCAAGATCATGATGCGGGAACCCACAGAGATAGCTGACCTGAGCTAGTGGGAGCTCATGGACTCCGGACCAACAGCTAGGGAGCCTTCATGGGACGGAGCTAGGCCCTCTGCATGTGGATGACAGTTGTGTAGCTCGGTCTGTTTGTGGTTTCCTAGCAGTAGGATCAGGACCTGACCCTGGAGCATGAGCTGGCTTTTTGGAACCTGTTCCCCATGCAGGGATGCCTCTCCCAGCCTTTTTGGAACCTATTCCCCATGCAGGAGGAGGAGCTTGGTCCTGCTCAATGTGATATGAACCGCTTTGTTGACTCCCATGGGAGGTCTGCCCCTTTCTGAATGGAGGAGGAGTGGATGGGGGGACAGATGGGAGGTGGGGGAAGGGAATGGGAAGAGAGGAGAGAGGGGAAACTGTGGTTGGTATGTAAAATAAATGAAAAAAATTAATTAAAAAAAGGAAATAGCTAAATGAGGGACCAATAGAGAAAAGAATTCATTTGTCATGCTGTATCTAGTCTGCTGAAAAAGTTCCTTTTTGTACCACAAGAACTGGATCTCAGTTCTGGTTCTGCCATGTGTCCTTGAGCATGTCAGTTCTGGAATTCAGACATCTCTGTTGGAGGGTTAGGATGGCCCCTTCGGTGGTTATTGGGAAATAATTTTTTTTAAGGATAATGCACATTATAAGTGTAGTGTGCTACCCTGGCTGTGGTTGTCCCAGCACACTGGCATGGGGATCCAGGGACCATTCTCCTGCTGTTTTCTACTTTGAGGTCCCCCAACTCCAGAGGCTACAGAAAGGCCCAGATCTGAACTTAGGGATTTCTAAAACAAGTCTAAGTAATTTTAGGTCATTTCTCTGGGATTTTTTTTCTTTCTTCTCTTGATTGTTTATGTGTAGCTGAGGATAATAATAGTAAAAATAATAACAACACTTTTTCTGGCACCATCTATGAGGCTTTATGCTTTTACTATAACTTTGCAGGTATCCCCTAAGGTCTTAGAGATGAGGGCTTGCATGTCTTTAGAAGCAGAGAGTCAGAGCCTGAGGAAACAGCAAATCCCGAGAACAGCACCTTGGCAAACCCTTGTTCCTCGAGGTTTCTTCAACTTCCTTCTAAAACTGGGCTGTGGATGCATGTTGATACCTCCAGGGGTGCCTAAGGGGAACAGCTGGACAGCACCGTTAGCTTTTGCTCTTAAAACACAAGATAGAAAACGAACCTGGGGTCATATTATTGCATGCACTTCAATGATCCCCTTTCCAGCTATCAGAAGGCATATTTTTTCAGTATTCTGCAGAAAAGTAAATTTTTAAAAATTCTTTTTTTTTTTCTTCGAGACAGGATTTCTCTTTGTAGCCCTGGCTGTCCTGGAACTAGCTCTGTAGCCCAGGCTGGCCTTGAACTCACAGAGCTTTGCCTGCCTCTGCCTCCTGAGTGCTGGGATTAAAGGTGTGTGTCACTATCGGCTGGCTAATTTTTAAAAATTCTGAGCAGACTGTTTTGCTTTAGGAATATTGGAGGAGCAGTTACCTCGTTTTACAGAGGTGGTCAGCTTCCCAAAGGCTGTTCCCCGGGTGCTGCAGTGCAGAACTTAGAGAGCAATGGAGACACATTGACTAAAGAGCCTCCAGACATTCTTTCCTCCATCTTTTGTCTTTTAAAGGCAAAATTAATACATAATTAAAATTATATAAAAATCCATCTCTAAAAATCCGCTACTCAATAAAAATGAGAGTTGAACCAGTTACAAGTATTTCTTTCTGCAAATTATAGATTTGGATTAAACTTCCAAATCCCAAATAGATGTTAAAATTAAGTCTTTCTTCCTCAGCTCAAGTAAATACTCCTTAAGGTCAGGGGAGTGGCTTTATTTAGTTTGCTTTGCTTTGTTGAGATAATCTCACTGTGTAGCCCATATTAGTTTCAACTTCCTGGAAGGCTTCTGCCCCAGCCTCCCAAGGGTGGCATTTACAGGTGTACACTTCCTACCACACTGGGTAGGCCTTACTGAAACGGAGGCGCGGTCAGGGATAGTAGGGAAACTGAGGAGAGGGTGGAAGAGGCGTGTTGTTTCCGTGCATTTGTATCTTTCCATTTCCTCTTCCTGGGGTGCATTTTCATCTCGAGTCCTCTGGTAAACTCATACTCATTTTCCCAGCACCCACTCCGAACCTTGTTTTCCGAGATGACTCTCCTCACATCTCCAGCTAGACAGTCATTCCTTCTTCCTCCCCTCTGCTGCTGTATAACCATCGCTCTTGTCAAATCTGGTACTGGACTAATTGGCTCACATTCCTGTGTCTCTCTCTCTCTCTCTTTTTAATTTCCACTGACACAGGGCAGGAATTTAAAGCTTGTTGAATGGACAAATAAAAGGGTGAATGGCGGTTCCTAGTCACTGTCCAACATCTTGTAACATAGATGCTGCTTTATGTTACAGAGCAGAGATGTGGTTTCTGGCCCTGTCCTTCTCCTGGGCTGAAGTGGGTGTGGTCTTCAGGAGCTCTTCTGCAGACAGGGGGATGGCTGGGCTGATTATTCAACAAGTATTTGTTGTGTGTTTCTAGCATTAAAGTTCTGTGGGAGAAACTACAGGGGGTGAGGTACAGTGTGTCGCTTGGGGGGGGCTCACTAGTTAGGTTTAAAGGCATGCTTCTTGTATACATCATTTAAAGGGAGATCAACTGCTGAATTATAAGACTTGACACTGTGAACAACACAGAAGTCATAAAAGCTGGAAAGCCCTGTTTAGTTAAAGCAGTTGGAAAAGCTGCTTAGGGGCCCCACAAGTTAATTTGAGCTCAGCAGTGTTGACTGAAGGAAGGGCCTAGGAGGTGGCAAACCGTAGGCCAGGCGGTACTTGAATGGTTGACTGTGTGGGCATTGGTTTATAGAAGAGCGTTTGCTTTGGAAACCTGAGTCCTTTTATGCACTATGCTCAGGTTTTAGAGACCCCTAGAACCTCTGGGTTACTAACAAAGTGCTTTATCTACCAGTATGGGGCAGTTCTCAGGGACAGTTCTCCAGGGAGAAGGTTCAGCTTTGAAAGGTAGATCTTGAAATCATGCTATCTATGACTTGTAATTTCAATCAAGAATAGGTAACATTGATAATCATTTGCCTTTTCCTGAGGTCTTAAAGGACGAGTGAAGGAAGAATTGAGAGACAGGAGTATTGGAAAGAGGGAGAGGAATTGGGCTGAGACTTGAAAAGCAAAATAACACACCTGTCTCCTTACAACCTGATCTTCCCTGTATCATGTCCACGGGTCCTCTTCAGTGGTTATGAAGGGATCATCTAAGCAATGAAGCCTACAATTTAGGGGCAGACACTGCCTATTGAGAGAAATGAAATACTGATTAAAATGAATGACATTTCTCATTGTTGTCCCAACGAGAATACACTGAATTAAAAAGTAGAAAATTCTGCAGACTTGATTGAGAGGCTTATCTTGTTACTGTTTATTTTAATCAGTTAACAGTCACTTTTTGCAAATTATTCTAGGTGTCCTTTGGAAGTAGGAGAGTTGTCTCACTCAAAAATCTGTGTTTGATCATAAAAATGAAATATAATGAACTTGACTTGGTAATTTGCCATAGATGTGTGTGTGTGTGTGTGTGTGTGTTTGTGTAAAACTAACAAATGCATAACCAATGTTAATCTAGGAATGTTGACTTAGAAGTCAAGTATTAGGAAAAATATGTGGGGCTGGAGAGATGGCTTAGTGGTTAAGAACACTGACTACTCTTCCAGAGGACCCAGGTTCGATTCCCAGCACTCACATGGCAACTCACAACTGTCTGTAACTCCAGTTCCAGGGCTTCTGACACCCTCACACAGACATACATGCAGGCAAAAATCAATGCATATAAAATTAAAATAAATTATTAAAAAAAGAAAAATATTTAAGCTCCATAAATTACTGATTGGATCATTATACACTGTGTATATATACATTGAAATATGTTGTGCATTATAAATATGTATCATTATATCAATTAAAAATAAAATAAAATTTAGAAAAAAGATTAAACATCAAGAACTATGTCAGTGAATGTTCAAAATGTGTTTTTTCTGTTGTAATCTGACTTCACTTATCAAATCTAATAAATTTACATATATGTAAAATGTTAGAATATCTTAATATGATAAAATTATTATATGTAATACCCTTTTTTATTTGCAATGATTTCAAATCTTTTTTATTTGCAATGATTTCAAATTAAAATATAATTACATTATTTCCTCCCTTTCCTCCCTCCACCTACTCCATGTCCCCCTACCTCACTCTCTATCAAATTCATAGCCTCTTTTTCTTTAATTACTTTATTACTGCATATATATGTACATACATGTCATACACACACACATATATATATACAGTGCATATATATGCATAAATATGTAAATATAATCTGATGAGTCTGTTTAGTGTTGTTTGCGTGTATATAATTTCAGGACAGGCATGATTTTGGATAACCAGTTAGTGGCTCATCCCTGGTCAAGCAATTCTCCCTCACCCAGCCGTAATTAATTGTCTGTAGCTCTTTGTCTGGGGTTGGGACCCTGTGAGATTTCCCTGTCCTGAGTTAGCATGTCTGTTGGCACTGGCGGCTTCAAGTCTTTAAGTTTAGGCAGCCATATTGTTGAGGTATCACGGTGTAGCCTCCCTGTCATTTCTAGGAGACACACTCTCTCCCCAGACTTCCTCATCTTCTATGATGTCCCTGGCCTTAGGTGTGTGGGATTGTGCTGTAGATGGATCAGGTCCAGCTTGGCACTCCGCCATCACTGGTCCTCAGCATTTTGACCAGGTGTGGTTTTCTATGATGGTCTGCTGCTGCTGGAAGCTTCTTTGATGAGGGAGGGGTGAGAGCTATACAACACCTTCCTCTTCTGTGTTGGATTGACAGGTGTATAAGTTACTTTTTTGTTTTTGTGATAAAAGAGTTTATTTTAGCTCAGGCTTTCAGGGGAGGCATGGCAGTGGGCAGCCAAAACAGGAAGCTGAGAGATCACATCTCAGCTGCACGTGGGAAGCAGAGTCAGCAGGAAGTGCGACATTACCCCTCAAACCTCGCTCCTAACGACAAACTTCCTTTAGCAAAGCTGCACCGTCTAATGAGTGCACCCTCCCCAAACAGCATCACCACTGAGGACCACATGTTCACAGTCATGAGCCTATGGGGAAGATTCCTCATTCAAACCATAACAGCAGAATTCCATTCTTTCTAAGTCTGAACAATGTTCCATTATGTTTATGAACAACATTTTATTTATCCATTTATCCACCAGCTGACACTTAAGTTGATCCATATCTAGGCTGTTGTGAATAGCACTGCAATAAGCGTGAGTCCAGATGTCTCTTCAAAGTACTAATTTAATTTCCTTTGTGTATGTAAATGGCAGTGCAATTGCTGGACCATGTGGTGATTCGGTTTCTATTTCTTGAGGCACCTCCATGTGTTTTCCATAATGGCTATACTAATTTGCATTCGTACCAGCAATGTAGGAGAGTTCCCTTTCTCCGATCCTTGCCAGATTTTGTTATGTTTTCTGTTTCTGATAATGTCCATTCTAACTAGTGTGAGTTAATTTGTGGTTCATTATGGTTTTCATTTGTATTTCCCTGTCATTATTGAACATTTTCTCCCAGGTACTTGTTGGCTGTTTGCATATCTTCTTTAAAAAAAGAAATGTCTATTCAATCATTTAGCAGTTTTGTTTTGAGCAGGGCGCTTTTGAGACAGGGTTTCTCTGTGGAGCCTTGGCTGTTCTGGAAATCACTCTGTAGACCAAGCTGGCCTTGAACTCACAGAGATCCACCTGCCTGTGCTGGGATTAAAGGCATGGGCCACCACTGGCCGGCTCCATTTGCCAGTTTTTAATTTTTTTTCTGTCTAGTTGTTACATTCCTTCTTTATTCTGTGTTAATTCCTTGGTCAGATGAATTTGCAGATGCTCTCTGGCCATCTCTTCCCTCTGCTGATTGTTGCCTTTATTATACAAAAGCTTTGCAGTCTGACATAATCCCATTTGCCAAATTTTGCTTTTGTTGACTAGACTAATATCCTGAAACATTTCCCTTATGTTTCTTCTAGGACTTTCACAGTTTCAGATCTTATATTTGAGTCTTTCCATTTTGAATTGACTTTTTGTGTGTGTGATGAGCAATAGGAATATAGTTTCATCCTTCATGTCCAGTTTTCCCAGCACCATTCTATACAGATTGTACTTTTCCCAGTGTATGTTCTTGCTGCCTTCGCTGAAAGTCATTGGCTGTAGATGTGTGGACTTGTATTTTCCACTGGTCTGTGCAGCAGTTATCATGTTAATACCATGCTGTTTTGGTTAGTATAGTTTGGTAATATATCTTAGCAGTACTTGAGCTATAGCTGGAGATATTATAATGCCCTCAGCTTTATTTCTTTTGCTTAGCATTGCTTTGGCTATTAGAAACTTTTTTTGGTTTATACAATTTTGGTTCATGCAAAGAATGTCATTGGTATTTTGATAGGAATTTCATTGACTATTGATTAAGTTGTGTAATTTAGATATTTAAAAACTACTGATGCTTCTGATTCATGAACATAGGATGTTCTTTCATTTTGTGTGTTTTAAGGATCATTTGCTTCCTCAATTCAGCTTCCCACAGATGTTTGTATTTTTGTTGTATTTTGAAGTTACCGTGAATGGAGTTGATATTTTTTGTCTCATTTTTAAGAATCAGTTTTATCATTGATAGATAAAAACGATATAATTTTAAGATTTATGTTTTGTATTTATGTCTATGTGAGTGTATTAACATATTCACGTATGTGTGGGTACTTGAGAAGGTCAGAGAAGGGGCTGAATCCCCTGGATCTGGGGTGATTGGGAGGTGCCTGACAAGGGTGCTGGGAACTGAATCAGCAGGTGCTGTGAGCCACGGACCCATCTCTCTAGCCCTAATCTTAGTTTTGAATGTTGATCATATATGCTTTATCAATCCTAACAGGGTTATTCCTCCCACCCAGGCTTTAGGTTTTTCCTTTTTCCTCTATAAAATTGTGTTGTATGCAAATAGAGATAATTTGGTGCCTTTATTTTCTATTCAAATTTTATTTTATTTGTAAAATAGAAACCAATAACAGGGAAACTCAGAGGGCTCTGTGTGTTTGCGTGAATGTATGGTGTGTGTATGTGTGTGTGTGTGTGTGTGTGTGTGTGTGTGTGTGTGTGTAGATGCACTCACTTCTGTATCCCTGTGTGGAGACCAGATGTTAACCTTGGCTGTTTCCCTCTGTTCTTCACTTCACTTTTTGAGACAAGGTTTCTCACTGACCCAGGCTAGGATTCACCAAAATCACCCAGATTGGCTGACCAGCAGGCCCCAGGACGCTCTTGCCACTGGGGTTTACGGGTGTGTGGCACCACATCCAGCTTTTCTGTGGGTGTTGGGGATCTGAGTTCGTATCTCCTGGTCAGAAGAAAATGTTGGAGACAGGAGCAAAGTGTGCCAGGAGGCCTCAGCGAAGCGAGAGTCCCAGACTGTGTGCCGTTTGCCTGTTCCTGAGCTCTCCGGGCTGGGGGAGAGCCGCCTGGAAGATGCCACTGTGGAAGCTGAGAATTATTTGATGTACACGTTTTTGGTTTTGCCTCATTTTAAAACAGATCTTCTTTCTCCCTCTCCTTTCTTAAGTTTGAACAGTCCGACATGCCGAGGTGTCATTCTGTGTCATAGAATTTCTGCCACAAGTGGGTTCTGGTAGAAGGGACACGGAGGTGAGCATGCCTTTTCTGTTCTAGCCTAAGAGTGGACAGTTGAGACAGAATGCACAGAGGAGCAGCCTTCCTCCTCACCAGGGCACTCTGGGATACCCAGCCTGGTTCTGACAGCATGCAGCATTGTGCTGGAGTGGAGTATGCAGTTTGAATTAGAATTGAGAGAGGATCTAGAAATTGGGTTTGTCCACAACTGCTCAGAATGCCCTTAATAATCACTGACCTTCCAGAGGTCTGTGGTTAAACCCCTTAGTTTACTCTAGTTCCAGGTTATCTTTATGTACCTTTTAAAGAATTTGAATCTTGGTCCAGCATCACATTTCACTAGTCTCTTGGAGGGCTCTTAAGGCGTGAGACACCATGGCTGCTTTCCTCAATGTTGTTTCATTAACTTCTCGTTTCCTTGGCAACCTTAGTTCTGCTTTTCTGAATGGATGTTGCTCTGGTCATCTGCCCAGAACACAGCTCTGGACGAGGGACTGCTGCAGAGAACTCAGTGTGAAAGTCCGGGAAGGGAAAGCTTACCCTTTATTTCAAAGCACACTGGCTGCATCCGTTCCGATAGGCAACCTCAGGTGGTAGCTGTGGACAAAGCTGCTTGATGGCGCAGATTCTCCGAGCCTGTGATTCCAGACTCAGAGTGAAAGACTAGCTTGAAGTTCTTGACACCTGCTCTTTACATGGCAACCTTGCTAACCATTTTTTCTTCTGATTCTACCTCTAGGCTAGAGTGAATTTTAAGGATTTTAGCTGAGATAATAGAGCAACTGGAAGTCTTGATGTTTGCCAACCCAAGTCAGAGCCCTTTCTTAAGATCTTTTTAACATAATCATTTGTCTTTTAGCTAGTCTGGAAATGGATTGTAGAATGTGGCCAGCAATTGACTTCTTGGAGTTGAATCTTGGAGTATTAGGTTTGTGATTGGAGTTTACCATCTGATTTCTACATATCCTGTGGACATCAAAACTCAGATTTGCAGATCTGGTTACTTTTGGGATTGTGGGGCTATTGTTTCTGACTGGATTGCATATTTAAATGTAAGGCTAGAGCTAAAGCTAGAAAAGCAGATGGATTTGGAAAGGGAGACTGACTTGCTTTGAGGTCATGTGTGAAGCCAAGAGATTGCTGGAGCAGCTCTATCAGGGTTTTCAGGAAAATAGCATTTCCACTTGTCAGCCTGCAGCCTGCCTGGAAATGTCGTACTTTCCCAACAGTCTTGGTATTTGAGCAGCTGTTTTCAAACACTCACAAAATGGAAAGCAAAGGGGTCCCTGAATCGCTAGCATCCATCCCCCCTCACCAAAGCTCTCGGGTGACTTGAGCAGAAAGAGCCGAAGCCGTGCAAGTGGAGGTGTGTGACACAGCACATGGGTGCGGGCTGCTAGTGCAGATGTGACGTCACGCTCTCGGCACCCGATCACTTCGAGAAGACTTCTCAGTGCCACAGCCTGCACACGAGAGTCCTCCAGAGGTCTGCACCTCTATCCCGCTTTCTATTCTCTTCTTTCCATTCACTGAGTCAGTGGACCGTCCGTGGGACCCCGTGAACACCTGAAACCTTCCAGTTGCATCAGTTAGCCCAGTGTCATCACTCGTGAGAACAGCTGTTTGCTCCTAAGGCCTTCTGAATGAGTCGCTCCAATGTTTCCATTTCTAATCTACAGAAAAGGTTCCGGAGAATTTATATGATTTGTATGAATTGTGAGAACAAATCATAGGATCATGAGGACGATAGACTTTTTTTTTCTGTCACCTGACAACTTTCAAGTAGTTGAAGTTCATGTAATGTATATAAAGATGCTTAAAACTATGGACACACCTGTTTGTTTTTTGCTCTTCTGGGGGCCCACCACCCAACTCCCAAATAAATCACACACAGAGGCTTATTCTTAATTATGAATGCTCGGCCTTAACTTGGCTTGTTTCTTGCCAGCTTTTCTTAAGTTAGCCTGTCTACCTTTTTCCTTGGGGCTTTTCCCGTTCTCTTACTTCTGTAACTCTTACTCTTACTTCATGGCTTGCTGTGTAGCTGAGTGGCTGGGTGGCTGGCCCCTGGAATCCTTCTCCTTCTCTGACTCCTTCTTTCTTCCTAGATTTCTCCTCTGTTTATCCTCTCTGCCTGCCAGCCCAACCGATCCTTTCTCCTGCCACACTATTGGCCGTTCAGCTCTTTAGTAGACCATCAGGTGTTTTACACAGGCACAGTAACACAGCTTCGCAGAGTTAAACAAATGTAACATAAACAAAAGTAATACACCTTAAAATAATACTCTACAACACACACCTGCTGTGGTGACTCACACCTTCAATCCCAGCACTCAAGAGGTAGATGCAGGTGGATCTCTATGAGTTCTAGGAGAGCTTTGCCTACATACTGAGTTCCAAGCCAAATAGGGCTACCTAATGTGGCCTTGTCTCAGAAAACAAACAAATAGCAAAAAACAAAACTGTGGGCAGACCTGGATTGTGTCAGTGACTTCTAACATTCTTTTAGCTAATGAACACCATGAAGCAGCCCATGTTGAGTATATTGAGTTCAAGTTTGATTTTATTAGAATAGTTTATTTTAGAGGTACAAGTTTCTAATGCTACCCATTTTCTAGTTAATTAGGAATACATTGAAATACTATTTAGCCAGACTTAAGAGGATTCTCTCTTCCTGTCCCCACTCTTCTGATGCATGCATGTGTGTGCCTATGGAGGCCAAAAGCTCACACTGGCTTCTCTTCCTCTATTTTTCTCCACCTTCCATCTGAGACAGGGATCACCACTCACTGACTGGCTAAACTGGCTGACAGGAAGCCCCTGGAACCCTCTTGTCCCTACCTCTCAGTGCTGGTGTTACAGGTGTGCATGGCCATGCATGCTTTTGTGACTGTTCTGGGGATCTAAACTCAGCTCCTTGTTCTTGTGCAGCGAGCACTTTACCCAGTGAGCCACCATCTCCCTAGCCCACCATCATCTCTTAAACATGATTCAATCACCAACCTCCGAAACTGCACTTGTCAAGGTCCCTACACCCCCATTGTAGGTGGAAATTTCTCTCCCTCCTGCCAGTTCCCAAATACCCAGCAGCTGCTCTTTAAATAATTGAATTGGAGGCCTAATATTACTTATAAATGCTTGGCCATTAGCTCAGGCTTATTATTAACTAGCTCTTACATCTTAAATTAACCCATTTCCATTAAACTATATCTTGCCACGTGGCTGTGACATTATTGGTCTGCTGGCATCTTGTTCCTTGGGTGGCTGGATCATGTCTGCCTGACTCTGCCTTTCTTCTTCCTGCATCTCTCTTAGATTTCCTGCCTGGATATATTCTGTATTGCCATAGGCCAAAACAGCTTCTTTATTAACCAATGGTAGCAACATATATTCACAGCATACAGAAAGACATCCCACAGCACTCTCCCTTTTCTGTCTAATCAAAAAGGAAGGTTTTAATTTTAACATAGTAAAATTACATATAATAAAACAGTTATCAAGCAAGAATTAACAGTTATAATATCTAGTCTATTTATATTTAGCAAAATTAAAGAATCTATCATCTATCTTTGTGAGTCTAAAGTTTTATATCTAATTTACCTTTTATCATAACTAAGGAAAACTGTAATTTTCTAGTCTTCAACTCCATCAAAGACCCCAGAAGGATATAATATTATCTGAGTAAACAGGAAGTGCTTTTTAAGCAACTTCCAAAATTCTAGAAATGACAGAGACAGCTGGCTGCCTGGACAGTCACCCAGAGTTCCCCTGTAATGTTGGGGCATCCATCTGCAGCCTACAGGCCCAGAGTCTCCGGCATAGCTTTCAGTGAAGCAGGAAATTTGAAGGACTGTTCCGCCTAATGGCAGAGTTCATCAGTCGCTTTTCTCTGTGTCCTGTGAAATTTCTGGCAGTTTCTGCAAAACAGGAACCTGAAGGACCAACCCACCTTGTTTTGGCAAAGTTCAGTGATCATTTTCCCATGGGTCCTGCATGCCCAGTTTATACAGTTTACTGTCAAGCAGTCCAGGCAAGAGCAGTTTCTTGCCCAAATGGTTTCCACATTGTAAGCAAACTCCATAAGGAGTTTCTTCAATGCCCATCATATTCTTTGAAGTAATTGGTGCTGCCAGGAGCAGACGTGTCTCACTGTCCAGAAAAGTCTGACTTCTTAAAACATTTTAAATGCCATATTCTGTAGGTCTTTGAAGTGTTGGAAGATTATATATCTAATTGAAATATATCTTTGTATACCTAGAAAACTTAACATGACCATAAATTAGAATATAATAGATTACTATTAATCTGTATTTCTTAGTGATGCATTACAATTTTAAATGAGTTGCATAGACATAATACCCTAAACAAGAGTAAAAATATAGAGTATAATAAAATTAACTTTAAATTTGTATCAATAAACCCAAATCCATACTAAATGTAAAATATTTTGACATTAACAATTGTTTTTTGGATCAAAGTAGATTCAATAATCTTAACTTTTTTTGCATCATTTCTGTATCATATCCCCTTTTTTCTTTAGAAAGAGATTGATTATGACCATTAACCATTTATAATCAATCCCCTTAAAATAAAAACAAACACTTATAAACAATATTTTGGGAATTTGGACATAGCTTTTTGTACTACTTCCTGCTGATTGGGGATGCTGGCAATCTTATGGGGATTCTGAGAAAATTTAGAATTATGGTCAAGTCTTGACTGTAGTGGTCTGTGAGGCTGCATCATCTTAGCCAGTTGCATTGAAGCTATTCTGGATGTTGAATCATCTGGGCCATGGCTGTCATTGGAAACTTTTCAGGAGGTCTTGCTTGATCAAACCATATTAGTCTGGAAGCCATTCACAGGTTCTCATCTTCTGTGGAAACAAAAGCAGAACCTCTTTTCCAAAGCAACATATCCTTAGACCCAAATTTTGAAGTCAAGATACTTTTAAAATATATATGTTGGTTTAACTTAGCAGCCCCCACAATCAAATGTCTCTCTGTAGTTAAAATTCCCAAAGACAGCACAATAATATACAGTAGTCAAATGTGGTTAAAAATTCTCATTCTTATCGCATAGGAACCATTAACTTTCTTTGCTCTTCACCTGGCTTTCTTCCAACCTCACTTACCATTTTCCCCTTCTGCCGTTTTCTCATTTCCTTGACTACGTTAGAGCCATAATCAGTATTTCCCAACTGTCTGAACCATGGAACACAGAAAATTAGGATCGTTTCCTCAGTTCCCCGCCCCCCCCTCGGGGAAGGGGGGGACGGGGACATAGTACTGTCCTAGATGCACAGGCAGGAAGTTAATTCATTACACATAGTCAGGGGGTGCCATAGAGCACTGTGGTAATGTTTTCATATGACCTCAGTTAAGGTTACCAGGCTCAACCCATAGACATGAGGGCTTTGGTCCAATTTCATGTCTGAAATTTCATGTGTATGTTGATAAGTCCAAAGTTTATGTCTCCAGTTTTGTCTTCTACTTGACTAGAAGGTAGTTAGTATTCTAGCTAACATCTTGTTTTAAATATCTAGCTTAGCATGTTTATAACCAAACCTTGCTTCTTATCATCAAAGCTATTTCACTCTGAGTCATCACTAGGCCCCACATGTAGTCATTCCTTGGACTTCGCTGCCTCACGTCCTACAGTCCTGCTGTGTGCATCTCTCAACTACATCTTGAATCTGCCCAGCCGTTCCTTTACTTCTACCACTGTGAGCTCACCCACATCGTCCTCTAGAGCTGGACTGCTTCACTAGCTTCCTGCCTGGCATCCTTGTTTCACTGTTGTCTTTGTGGCCGTTTGTGATGTCACTGTCTGTTCAGAGTCCATCAGTGGTGTCCCCTAGCTCCTGCAGGACAACAGCTAAAGACATCATCTGGCTGTTGTGACCTGTAGTACCATTTTCTGCCCAGTGTTCTTGCTGTTCCTGTTTTGTATTAAACTGCTCCCCAGAGCACTTTTCTGTGCCCAGAAGTGTCTTCTTTCTGCCTCCTCAGTCCTTACATCTTACTTTCATTTCTGCCAAGTGTGATTAGATGAGACCTCACCGAGGCCTTTCTTTACCAATCATTAACAACTGGAAAGTCTCTTCAGTTTTTTTGTGCCCATTCTGTTGCTGTTTTTCTGCATTATGCTGGTGATTTTTCTAGTATTTTATTTGAATTGATTATTTTTTATTGCCTCCCATTAGTGTGTAGGTCCCACATAGACAGTAACTTGGTCTGGCTTTGTCCATCACTATATGCCAAGTGTCTGGAACAACCCACCCAGTAAGAAGATGATGAATGAATATGTGAATGAGTGGTAAGCAATTTGAAATTCAGAATGTGATGAGTGGAATTTTAGTTATTTTAAATTATTGCACAAATTATCTCTTAAGTATATCTCATAACATCTTGAAATATTCAACGGAGCCATTAAAAACTCAAGTATCTCAGTAGTTACCCTGTCAAATCTTTCATTCAAAACTGTCATTGGTGTTGCATGCTGAGGACAAATTTGAATGTCTTTGGAAGCATGGTCTATAATGGAGTATGCAGAAATGCCAGACTGCAGACACCTCAGACCATTGCCTGCCTTCCTACCTCTCTTCTGTAGGGGAGGAGCGATGGTACCTGCTGGCTGCAGTTCTCCTGCGTCATCATCTCTCGGCTCAGTAAGACCAAGCTAGGAGAAGGCTGTAGTGGGGGATGGAGGCAGGAAGCAGCGAGGGACATCCTTCCTCTGCTTCTGTCAGCAGCAGAATCCATTGCTGTGTCTATGGCTCCCATGATTCACTGCAGGGGCAGTAGCTCAGGACTTACTGAATTCACCCAGTATGTTTCTCGAACAAGGGTTAATGTAACTTGTCCTAAATGATGCTTTAAAGTTAATTTTCAGCATCTCATTCTATTGGTCCAGACTGATTGAGCATCACTGAAATGAAATAGTCCTGCATCGGTGTCTATTTCAAAATTGCCCTAGGCCATGGATTTGGACGTAAATCCATCCTTCATTTGTCTGACTTCATTACAAAGTCCTTCAAGGAGTGTTGTGGGCAGCCTATCTTTCTATATAATAGTCTGTCCTTTTCTTTTTAGAAAATGCCTGGGTATGTAGTCCAAGCTGGTCTCAAATTTGTGATCCCCCAGCCTCCACCTTGGGGGTAGTAGGAGTTCAGGTGTGAATCACCATTCCTGGCTTTTTATTCAGAGTGGTGCAAATAATGGACTGTTCTATGAAATTTTTCTGGATTTTAGTATCTTGTTACCTGCCGAATTTACACAACCTGGTAGATTATTCTAGGTTCAGCTTCACTTTCCCTATTTGGGATCTGGCCTCTCCCCATATGGAACCACTATCCCCTCCTGACCTATCTCCTATGCTCCTCTTATCCTGGATTGAATAATTTAGCTTTTGCTTAGTTCTAATACACACTCTTTTGTAGCCCCTAGAACTGGCCCTCTGGCTGTTTTGGGTCTTGTTTACCTGCCTGTTCATCAACCTCTTCCTCATTCTCATCCTTTCCCCAAGACCTTCAGAGATGCTCAAATTTTAGCCCAAAGTCCAAGTTTTATCAGTTGTGGGCAGACTTCCTTGCAACTTAAGAGGTCTGCCTTCTTGATGTTCTTGGGAGGGTCAGCCTCCAAGTCTCTGGTGCTGTGACCTCCTGTTAGAACACGGAGTCCTGGATTTCACTGTTGTTCCAGTGGCTATCGTTATATACTGGATATGATGCTGTGTCTGCCAAGCTGAGCTTGCCCGTATCACACGGGGCTGTGCCAGTTCTTCCAGTGACTGTGGTCAGACAAATGCTGAATTCTAATTCCTCTTCTCACTCCTGTCTCCAGCCTGCTCAGACCTGAGCAAAGTAATGAACCAGCCATTTAAGTTACATGATAAACCACACTGTGCACTTAGCAACCCCAATTATTATGAGTGATTTTATGGGAAGAAAGAGCTGTAGGTCAGTGGGGGTGTCTGTTATTGACTTAGAACCATTGAGTGCAGCCCCTGAGGAAGGCGCTACAGTTAGGTTTCTACTTTGTAAGGCTAGTCAGAGAGCATCTGTATGCACACTAGCATAGCTCTCACACGAAGCCATGTCAAGGAAAGACAGAAAACAGATTTCAAGGCTCTTTGGCAACCAACTGGGGAAACAGAGACATGGGTTCATCAACTGTTACCCCTGATATTACACAAGGGTGGGGTAATAGAACCGGCCCTAGGTTTTAGTTTTTGGAGACTGCAAGTTCGCTAGGCCTGAGAGTTCCAGTGTTCTGACGAAGAGAGGTGTTTTCATTTCTCTGAAGCCTTAAAGGAATGTAGTATTAGAGCTGCCCTGACATCGACCTTGGTGGTCACCTGGTTATGAGTCTGAATCCTTGCTGTGGCTTGAATATGTCTCCCAAAGTTCATGTGCTGAAAATTTAATCTCCTGTGCAATAGTGTGGGGAGAGGGAGCCTAATAAGAGTAGATTAGGTCATTATGTCCTGCTCTCTTGAATGGACCAATGCCTTTATTACGGGAATGAGATCACCTGCTTCCTTGAGAATAGTTTGTCAAAAAAAAAAAAAAACAAGCAGCTTTGGCCCACTCTTTCTCTTGGCTACTGTGTGCTCACCTACCACTGCCTTCCATCATGGGATGACACAGCACAGAGGCCCTCACCAGATACATATGGCTCCTTAGTACTGGAATTCCAGAACCATGTCCTAAATACAGTTCAGTTGCTAAGTTGAATAACTAAATTAACTGTTGTGATATTTGTTGGAGAAACATAAAACAAACCCAACCCTCAGAGGTACTGCTGCTGAAGTCCCCTAGAGACTAGACTAGGTGTGTGCTACATTTCTTGACTTGTGTTTCAAGCCTGTATCGAGGTGGCGGAGAAGAGCATATGATCCTTCAGGAAAGGCTTGAAGTTCTGGTTGACTCATTTGCCACCTTTTCAATGGGTAGCATTGGGCGGAGCTGATATAGGAGTGACCTTCCCCTACACACTACCTTTAGTGATGCCAGGTGCTTATTCTCCGATTTTCCTATGTTTGTTTGCAACATGCCTTTATTTTGCAGAAAATGCCTTGTGCCGATTGTCTTTAGGATTCATAGTTATTTGTCTGATGGCCCAGGAATTCAGCCACACATTTAACCACAATGGCAGGATGGTTCCATTTTTGACTCAGCTTCAGTCTGTGTCCTCATCTGTGTGCTTTCACTCTGTCCTTCGTCCCTCAACGCTGTGACACCTGCCACGGAAGGGTCTGAGAACCACCGAGAACAAGGAAGAGACTTAAGCTTTGCCCTTCATTTGACTAAAGCAGGTTGGACTTTATAGATTCTGGTGTCCCAAAGTCATCTGCACATTGAATGAAAAATAAACAAGGCAGACATTCCTGGACTCTAGCAAACATTTAGTTTTGGAGACAATCATGGTTCTTTACTTGAACTCACCATAGCACATAGGTGATCCAGAACAACACTAATGCTGCAGATAAACTTTATAAAAAGGAGGTAGCAGAACTCTAATGAACATATATACCTTCTCGTACTTCAATTAGAAAGTATTTATTTATTTATTTTTATGTGTATGTGTGTGTGCCTGAGTGTTTGTGTGGCCACAAGGCCAGAAGATCGGGATGGATTGGATGGATCCAATTGGGTGGATCCCTTGGAATTGGAGCTCCAGACAGTTATGAGCCACTATGTGGGTGCAGGTAATTGAACCTGGGTCTCTGGAAGAGCAGCCAGCTCCCTTCCTCTTTTAAAAATGAAGATAATAAGATTTTATTTTCTCCCCTTGACCCATAGTAGCCTCTCTGTACTAGCAAATCGCTGGAAGGAACACTGGTCGGCACAACAGAAAGTCCTTGTCTCTCTTAAGGCAAGGGTATTTTTTCCCTTGACACAAGGTGTCACTCTGTAGCCTAGCTTGCCTCAGAACTCACCACGTAGCCCAGGCTGGTACCAACTTGGTGATCCTCCTGCCTTAGTCTCCCAAGTTCTGGGGTTACAGGCATGAGCCACCATACCCTGCGAAGTCAAGGTTTTAGATTCATATGGAAGATAGCTACATGGCTATCCAAGAGGTGGTCACACATGGAGAGCATGCTGGTGTGGACAGGCATGTCAAGACTGGGCTGACTGTCAAGGGTTCCAGATGAGTGTGGGTACCTTAGAGAATTGTTTCCATGAGAATAAGGTAAGAGAATTAATGATGGACCTTTGTGGTAGGTACTTTTCTGTGTCTTGTGTGGAGGGAAGTGAGAGGGGGATGTCTAAACCAGTGCTGGGGTTGGTAGGTGGACAGAGGAGCAAACCACCTCCTGCTTGGGTGCACCTATATTTCTGTCATGAAGTTCTGCCATCATCTGTGTGTGTGAGCATGTATACCTATGTGTGATATGTATGTGTGTGCAGGTGTGAAAACCCATGTATGCGTGTGGAGACCAGAGGAGGATATTGGGTGTCTTGTACTATTGGCTGGATTTGAAGCTAGGTTGCCAGATGGGAAGCCTCAGGAATCACCTGTTTCTGCCCCTGCATTGCCAGGGTTACAGGCGTACTTGGCCATGCCTACATTTTTTCCATGGGTGGTGGGATTTGAACTCTTACCTGCTGAGCCGCCTCCCCAGCTCCCACGGGCTTGGCATTGCTCTTCTCTGTTGCATCAAGAAAAGATTTCCAAATGGACTTCTGTTTACCTGTCACGGTTATGCAGGGAAATGTCCCTTTGGAAACCAAGGGACGGCAGTTTTGTACTATGTGAACTGAAAGCTCACACTTGGGAAGGAGTTGACATAATCTGTCCCCCCTGGTGGAAATGGTTGATGTGCCTGACTTTACCCTGGGACACAGGTTTCTTCCCCCAGTCACCCTTGGATTTGAGAGAGTTGAGGCAGATGTTTCTGCTCTGGGTATCTGCAGATGAAACTTGTCTCCCAGCACACTCTTCCCGCTCCTCCTCCTCATCTGTGCTTGTCAACCACTACACAGTCTAGCAGGAAGGAGCCCATGGCAGTGGGATCCAGGCCAGAGACCGTCACGTTCAGCACGGGACTATCCTTCTGTCCCTGGTCATGGTCCCCTCTTTAGTGAGTTCCTTCAGCTCAGTTACAGCTCCCTCCCTCCCTTGCTCTCCTGCTTCATGGTGGCTGCCCTCCAGGAAGGCCTTATCACTGCTCTGTGACTGTAGGAGCACCTGAGGCTGGTGGCATGAGCTCGACACCTCTTCATTCCCGCTCGCCTGCTCGCTCGCTCCCCGAGAGCCGCCTTCACCCCTTCTCAGTAGCTGGTCCAGCCGAGACCCGTGAAGGCACCTGTGTCCCATTATAGAGCCAGGGGAGAATGAGACAGATGCGTGGGGAAAGAGCCGCTGCTGCAGGGCGAGCCGCAGCAGGGCAAGCCGCTGCAGGGCTGTTCCACTTGGACTCTTATAGGCGCGACTCGAGGAGTGTCCTAGTTAGCTGTAAACTGTCAGCTGACACATCCTAGAAATCACCTGACAGGAGAGCCACTGTTGGGGGTTCCCTAAGTCAGATTGGCCTCTGGGCACATCTGTGGGGTGTTGCCTTAATGGTTAATTGATGTAGGAGGGCCTGGTGGACAGTGCCATTCCTTGGGCAGGTAGTCTTGGGCTGTTTCAGCTAGCTGACTATAAACCTGTGTGAGTCAGTAAGCAGTGTCCCTTCCTAGTTTCCACTCCAAGTTCCTGCTCCAGTTCTTGCTCTGACTTCCCTCGGTGATGGATTGTGACCGGTCAGCTGAAATAGACCCCTTGTTCCCCCAAGTCTCCTTTGGTCAGAGTTTGATCAGAGCAACATCAAGGAAGTTGGAACAGCGGAGTTCTTGCTCGCTCCTTTCCCATTCCGTCTCTCCCGGGTCCCCCAGGATCTGAGAAGTGGGCGGCTAGGAGGAAAAGGGTTTATCTGGTGCTGCTTGTCTGGGCTCCAGCTCCTTCTAGGCCTTTGCCACTGTGCGGCATGCTTACACACGTCTTCGCCCTTTGGGCTGCAGTTCTGCCTTCGCGGGGGCCTTTCTGTGTTATTCTTTGGTTTTCTCCTGAGCACCTGCTCCTGGAGGTTGACCGCACAGTCTCTTGGTGAGTCAGCCCTGTTGGACAGATCTCCGGGAAACTTCTCAAGTAGGAATTACTCTTCACACAGTCTCTCTGGACCCCAAGAAATGCAACCAGTGCCACATGGAGAAGGCAGCTTGCTGTTTAGTTCCTTACCCTACTTCTGCCCTTTGGCTTCAGTCAGCCTCTTCAGTTGGAAGAGGCCCCAGACTGTGATGTCCGGATCCTAGAGACATTTGTCCATGAGCTGTCCCTGGATGTAGTTAATGGACCACTTGTCAGCGGAGCCTGCAACCCCTCCCAGCTCCACTGAGCAGTTTTCTGGGACCCCTCCAATTCTTCCATCATCCACTGCTCTCAGTGGGTGTGTGGGGTTATGTGTGGGAGTGACGGGAAGCGTCTCAGAGAGCAATGAAACATTACTGTCCGCTCTGGCTGCATGTCCAGACCCCACTTCTGGACATGCAGAAGGAGATGGGGTCTCCAGGCCTCTCCTTGGCAGGCCATGCAGGGGAATCCATTTTGCATGATTTTGTTATGATTATCCGAGGAGTCCTCTTTGTTCAGGACTTGCTCGGTGGGATTTAACAGCACACTGAACTTGCCTGGAGTGCGATGTTGGATCAACCCCCCAGTTCCTCTCAATTTCTGCGGTGTTTGCCAAACTCTGGGACTGGGAGGGGGTTTGCAGAGGAGGAGTGAAAGGCACCCACCGTTGATACCTCTGATAACCCCCCAGATACGGTACATGACGACACTTTAATCTGTTCAGAGCTCAGCCGATAGTGGCCAGTGCTGCCACATGGTGTTGAGAAAGTCTGTTTTCTCATTTATAAGATTCGATTTCTCTTGTAGGCTGTTACGAGGATCAAAGTACCCCAAGTCTTGTAATTAGAGCGGTCATAAAGCATTTTCCAAATGTGAAGAGCCATGGAATGAGAAAAGTGCTTGGCAGGAGACCCAGTGAGGGGCTCTGCCCAGACTGTCAGCCACCCCCACCCCCCACCTCCCGTGCTGGTGATTTTCTGGCAGGAACTGGCCTGGGAGGGGCCTTGACAGACATTAGCCAGAGCTCACTTAAAGCAGCCTGATTGACACGTAGTTATTATTTTATCTTCGTAAAGCTGCGATGTGAGGCCTGAGATAGGGGGAGGAGGAGGCCATGATGTAGTCACTTGACAGCCTGCCATTGTCAACCCTAGTGGGAGGGAGACGTCAGCGGCCAGAGGATAGCCTTCGCTTGTAAGTGGTTCATTTTTAGTTCATCGGAAATAACTCCTGCTGGCGATTTAATGCTCTGACTTCAGGACTCTCCCTGTGTGCTAGATAGAGGGGAGAGGGGGAGGGGGAGGGGGGAGACAGAGAGAGACAGAGAGAGAGAGAGATGGAGAGAAGAGACAGAGACAGAGAGACAGAGAGAGAGAGAGGGAGAGAGCGCATTCATATGAACAATGGATGAATGAATCCTGTTCATTCATATTGTGATTATCAGTATGCCATATTCTTTTAGGTTTCTTAGTGTTAGCATGTTTTCCTGGGATGACTGGTTTGTGGGATAAGGACACTGACTAAGTTATATAGTCATTTCACCTATACTTCCAAGAATAATAGAAGATGGGAGGTGGGTCGGTGTGGATTTCAATCTCAGTTCCTAAAACACACTGGTCTAAAAGGAGGAAGTGTTTATGGCAGTCTTAGCATGGAAGGAATTCATAAGAAGCCAGGAAGCCTCTGGTGGGCTGTCTCGCTGCTGCAGAGTATCAGAGATTTTCAAGACTCACACTGTCCATCCTGATGAGCGAAGCGACTGTGAGGCTATAATTTGTATCAGTTGACATTGGCCACTCCATGTGATCTGTGACATGTATGGTTGACATTTGGTACTAGATGCCAGTGTGATGGACATTTTTTCAAAAGGAGCAGTTTTGCCTTTATAAAAAAATCTAGAAGTGTAGCACACTACGTTTTCCAAATGATGGTTCTGGTTAAAGTCTTATTTATGTAGCTAATTCTAGGGTAAGAGGTAAATTTGCCACTACAGAATGGTTTCTACATGCTGCAGATGAACTGTTTGTGTCTTCCCAAAATTCATGTATTAAAACCCAATCCCTAATGCATTTGGAGACGGAGCTATGGAGGGCTAATTAAATCCTGAGAGTAGAGCGAAGGGACTCCGGCCAGCTCGAGCTTGGAGCCAGGGCATGGCTCTGGCGGGCCTCTCCCTTCTCCCTGATTCCCTCTGCCTTGCTAAAAACCACTAGAATACATACCTAAAGCTAATCCCCAAGGTCTATTCTCTTATTTGGTTAATCCGTCCTTCTGAGGCTGACCACCAAGGTCCAGCTATCAAAGTATTGAAGTTCAGCAATCGAAATCTCCCCTTGGCTGTCCTAATTAACGTGACCAATTAAGATTAAACACCTCATTCTAACATGGGGTTTCTCCCTTTACCTTTATAAACTGCCATTTGCCTGTGGGCCATGCCTGTCTCCTCTCTATCCAGAAGCAGTCCTTGTACCCTGCCCTCCCCAGGACAAATATCTCTTCCCCCTCTACCTCATCCTCTATCTTCTGTCTTTGTCCCAATTCCCTGCCCTTTGTTTCTCTGGGGCCAATACATCTCTTTGTGCTGAGAAGTTGGTCTTGGGGGTCCTGAGCTGATACTTTTCCTTACACAGAGCCCTTAAGAATGGTACACTATCCCTATTAAAAGGCCCCAAGAAGGTACCCCAATCCTTCACCTCTAAGAAGACTGAGGTAGAAGGTACAATCTACCAACCAGATCATGAGACACCAAGTCTGCCCTGACCTTGGGCTTCCGTTATCAAGAACTGTGAAAAATAAGTTTCTGTTGTGTGAAAGTCTTTAGTTTATAGTATTTCCCTGTAGCAGCAGTCCAAGTGAAAGAAGACACCAGAATGAAGACCTTTTCTACTGTTTATTCACCAGTGGACCTCAAGGCCTAGAACTAACTCCGTTGTCCATTCAGAGTGTTCGATAAGTTCACATTTGTTTAGTGACTGGTTCCATGAAAAAGGATCTAGCCTAACATTAGGTGTAGTACCTCTCTCAGTGTGAACTTGCCTATGAAGAATAGCCATGTAGCTGTTGTAAGTGTTAACATCTGAAGCTGTAAGAGATGTGGAATTTTCTCCACACAGTGATGCTTTGTGAAATCACCATCCAATGATTTTTTTTTTTCCTTTTTCCAAAAGTATTTCTCAAATAAACGGACATCATGCATGGTTGGGGAATTACTCCTCTCTTTTGGAACAAAATTTTATTTTCTTATTTCATTTATTATTTCATGTAGGTGTTCCCTGTAATGTTAACTAAACCCAGATGCTGTTTTTTCCTTCCTTTTTTTTGTTTTGCATCTTAAATCATACTTAGTCGTGTGCCAGACAACAATGCATTTTAGCTTTTACATGGCCATGTGCAGTTTTTAAAAGCAAGTTTTTAAAAACGAATTCATTCTGAAGACTCAGATACAGACATTCCATTTCTTACAGCTTTGCCTGTACACACAGAATCACAGGAGTAAGAACCACTAGCCAGGATTAAGGGAATATGGCTCTTGGTGAGACCTTAGTGAGCAAGCAAGATTTTAGATTCAATGATAATTTTAGCTTCATTATAGGATTTCAGCCTTTGATTGATAACCACGGAAACCAAGGCCCAAAGGGTGTAGACTAAAGAAGCATAAGATTTGGAGTTATGAATTAAACTCTGAGTCACGCTACATTTTCTTTGCGATATTACCACAGCTAGCCCCAGGGAGCAAGTGTTTTATAAACTTTTTAATGAATATATATCAAATGAGCAAAGCCAGAACAGATAGTACGGATGTTATTAGTGCTATATTTTCACTGTCCCAGCCCCAGGACACCCGGATGTGCTTTGTGGCCTATTGCCTGTAGGAACTGGGAGTTGGAGGCAGTGTGGTACAGATGGAGAGATATTGAGCTGGGAAAAGAGGAAGCTTGACTTCTGATTCCGGTTGAGTTGCAAGAAAGGAACTGAGATGTATAGTGCCCTGCCATGCTGTATACATTTTACTGTCTGCCAACCCAGTTACCACCTTGTTGCTAGAGTTTTCCTGCCTTGCTCACAGTCAGGACAACTCTTTGTCACCCACCAGTCCCACAGCCACTCAGACCCAACCAAGTAAACACAGAGACTTATATTGCTTACAAACTGTATGGCCGTGGCAGGCTTCTTGCTAACTGTTCTTATATCTGGTGGCTTACCGGTATCTTCACATGCTTCTTGTCATGGTGGCGACTGGCAGTGTCTCTCTGCCTCAGCCTTCCACTTCCCAGAATTCTCCTCTCTCCTTGTTCCACCTACTTCCTGCCTGGCCACTGGCCAATCAGTGTTTTATTTATTGACCAATCAGAGCAATTTGACATATAGACCATCCCACAGCACCACCTCTGTCAGGTGAGTGCTGTGGACTCTGTGTAAATGAAGAAACTATGGTTTGGGAATGTTCAGGAATGTGCTTAGATTACGGCGACATAGCCTAATTTGAACCTCAATCTATGTGATGGTGTTCAAAAGTTACTGCCTAATTCCTCCCTCTGAGATTCCTTCCCCATTCCTAAATCTGAAGATTCTGTGTTTGATCCTGGTTTTTAAATAACTTCACTCCTTCCCCTCTCCCTTCACCTCAAATTGTGAAGTAATGTTTTGACTTCATAAATCTGTCTTCCAAGATGGTGTTCAGGTGACCGCTGGAGACAGCAGACATTTGTTTCTTTGGAGTATAAACCTGATTTCCTAGGATGCTATGCTGTCACTGGCTTAATTAATTAGGTGACAGATGCTGTGGACACCTTCTTGTGTATTCTAACACTTAAGAGGCAAGAGTCTAGTGCTTTGCCTGCTGTCCTCTGCAACCTTGTAGTTCAAGTCCAAATTGTTATCCTCAGGTATGTGTTGATCTTGGCTCTCTCTTTCCCATCTTCCCTTCCTCTCTCCCTCCCTCCCTCTCATTCCTCCTCCTATCTCTCCACATTTGTGGGGTGGGGTGGTGTGGGAGAAATACTCTAAGGAATTGCTTCATGTAGTTATGGAGGCCAGGAAGTCCAGAGACCTTTAGTTGGGAGCCAGGGCAGCTGACAGTGTTCAAGTCTTAAGGGAGTAGACTGTGTTCTAGTTAAAGACGGAGGCAGAGCTCTTCCTTAGCTCCCCTTTTTCTTCTGTTTAGGAGTCCTTTTAGGATTAGATGGAGCCTACCCACTTCAAGAAGGGTAATCTGCTCTACCAAGTCAGAGACACACTGCAATAAGGTTTTTAAAAGCTACTTTATGTGTATGTCTCTTTTGCCTGCTTATCTGTGTATGGCTGGTGCCTTTGGAGGCCAAAAGAGGGTGTCTGGGTCCCCTGGAACTGGAGTTACAGATATTAGTGAGTCAGCATGTGGGTCCTGGGAATTGAACCTGAGTCCTCTGGGAGAATAATCAGTGCTCTTAACCACTGAGCCTCTCTCCAGTCCCCCAGAATAATATTAAACTAACTATCTGGGCATCCATTGGTCCAATTGAGTTGACATATTAAGTTAATCATCATGATATAGTAGAACTATTCCCTATCCTATTTCAGACAGAGCTGAAGTGACTCAGCCTATCAAAGGGAGGGGAAGGTGGCATGTCACAAAAACCTGTCTACTAATTAAGGTCAGTTTACTGTTATAAAAAATGGGGTTCAAGATTTGTACTGATTTAAGCATAATTCAGGTTTATTTCTTGCTTATAATGGAGTACTGGTCAAATTATCAGGGCAACAGGGTGACCTTTTCATTTTCAAACTCATACCCAAACCCTTGAGATGGTGTCTCTTTCAGGCAATTGGAGTAGAAAGAAATCATGGCCATATGGGGGCATTTTATGAGCTAAGCTGTCAAAAGCCATGCCATCTCTGTCTAGTCCTTTGTACAGAACTGATGTGGCTGCACCTCACTGGGAGGGGGCTGGGAAGCCCACTTCCCAGACCTGACTCTACAGTGGATGGAGGAACATGTACTTTCAGAGCCTCGGTAGGCATCCATCCACACTCGGGGGTAAGAATCAGAAGACCTGAATTCTATTACAGCTGAAATGGGAGTTTTAACTGAGAGCCAGATGCCGTTTTGCTGTGCACATTCCATGTAAAGACAGGTAACTCCTTGCTTGGATCCAGGGAAGAGGCCTGGTGAAGGCAGCAAATCTTCTCTTCTGGTGCACATGGTGGCAAAGCTGGGAGAGGCCTGGGCACTCTGATACTTGATAGATAAATTCTTCTTCACTGGGCACGGCAGCATTGGTTTCTGGGAGACAGTTCGAGGTACTTCAGGGATCTTCTATCTGTGTGTAAGCTGGAACTCAAACCATAGTCACCATGGAGGTTCTGTTGAGTGTAGGGTAAAGACAGATGGGAAAATGAAATTTTTTGCAATATTTTATATTAATTTCTAGAGTTTTATATAGTGTATTTTAAATATATTCACCCTGTCAACTCCTCCCATTACCACTCTATCCATCCTTCCATCCCTTCTTACCCAACTTGAGATCTCCTCCCCTTATAATTTGTTGAGTCAGTGTGTGTTGCCCAGCAAGTCTTGGCAGTGAGACCTACCCTGGTTTGTGGTCAGCCTACCAGTGGTCACATTATTCAAGGATGGTCCCTCTCCCTTCCCAGCACCCATCAGATGCCATGGCTCCTCAGATAGTAGTGCAGTCTCATGTCTGTCAGGAAGAAGACTCTTAATCTCCAATAAAAATGAAGGGATACTTGGTGCAAAATGCTCTTTTCTTGATCGTTATGAATCCTGAGGTTAGGAGGATTTACTTTTTCAGAAGAGCCCTAGGATCACAGGACATCTTGTCTTTAGTAAGTCTAAAATAAACCCTGTCTCCTGTAAGTTGCCTTAGCCATGGTGTTTAGTTACAGCAGTAGAACAGTAATCAATGCAGCATGGCACAAGGAAGAGTGGCTGGGAGTCAAGATGAAATAGTAGGAACGTTCAGACTGACGGTCGGAAAGACTTTCCGAGAGCAAAACAGTTATGGAGTTGAATCTTCCCAGATGCTGAGAAAATCTACTCACCCCTCCACCCCTGTTTTTTTTTTTTTTTTTAAGACAAGGTCTCACAAGGGCAGCATGTTAAGACTGTCCTGGAACTCATTATACAGACCAGGCTGGCCTTGAACTCACAGATTTCCACCTATCTCTGCCTCCTCTGAGTGCTGGGATTAAAGGCATGAACCACCACACCTGGACTACTTACATCCTTAAAAGTAATTACTGGAGCATTTCAATACAAATATGTTTTAGATTGCATGGCTAAGTTTTTAAAAAATTTTTTATTTAAAATATTTTTTTTGTGCCAGGTGGTGGTGGCGCATGCCTTTAATCCCAGCACTCGGGAGGCAGAGGCAGGCGGATCTCTATGAGTTCGAGGCCAGCCTGGACTACCAAATGAGTCCCAGGAAAGACGCAAAGCTACACAGAAAAACCCTGTCTCGAAAAACCCAAAAAAAAAAAATTTTTTTTTGTGATTGTAATATAATTATAGCATTTCTCCCTTGCTTTTCCTCCTTCAGAGTCTCTCATATACCCCTCCTATTCTTTAAATTCATGACCTCTTCTTTCATTAATTGTTTTTGGATGCATATATATTTTAACTGCCTATGGTTTGCATAGCATCTCCATATAGCGCAAGACATATGTATGTATCTCTTCCTCAATATAACCTGCTCAGTCTGTATGATATCACTTGTATGTATGTTTTCAGGAATGAATGTTTGGCACTGAACAACCAGGTGGTGTGCTGGGGAAGACCACCTCTCTCACTTGCAGCTTTCTTGAGTTGTCTGTAGTTCTTAGTGTAAGGTTAAGGCCTCATGGGCTTTTCCTGTCCACTTTGGCAGCCCATTGATGTCATCCTTGTTCAGCTCACATTTGGAGTTGTGTTGGTGAGACTTTATGGATGTAGCTTCTGACATTACTAGGAAGCACAGTCTCACAGCAAACTCTCTGATCTGGCTCCTAAAATCTTCCTGGCTCCTTTTCAGCAACACTCTCTGAGCCTTCTGTTGTGCACATGTTTTGTAGAGGTATTGGGACTGGGCTCCACAGCTCTGTATTTTGATTGGGTTTTAGGGTTTTTTTTAGTGGTCTTTGTCCATTGCAAAGAGTTAAAAGTAGCATTCTGATACAAATAAGTCTTACATTGTACTGCAGACTTTTCTTATATTTTATAAATAAATTAGGAATTCCACAATAATTTCATGGTTAGACATATGTTATGTTGCAATTCTTTCTCTGTCCCACCAGCCAGCTCCCAAATAATGAAATGGAGACTTTTTATTAGTTATGAAAGTTTGGCTGACAGCATAGGTTTATTTTTAACTGTCTCTTATGACTTAACCAATATCTTTTAATCTATGTTCTTTTATGTGGCTCAGTTACCTTTACTTTGTAATGTCCATGCTGCTTGCTCTGAGTCCCCTGGCATCTCTACCCTTCTTCTTCCCAGTGTCCTCTGTGCCTGGAAATTCTGCCTATTAACCATTTTGCTTTTTATTAAACCAATCAGAGGGACAAATCTTCACAGTGTACAAAATGATTATTCCACAACATTTCCCTCTTTTTGTCTAAATTAAAAGGAAAGGTTTTTAACTCTGCCATAGTAAAACTATATACAATAAGAACAATTATCAGGTATTATCTAAATAGAAAGGAAAGGTTTTAACTCCAACAGAGTAAAACTATATACAGTAAGAATAACCATCAAGTAAGAATCATACTCACAATGTCTAGTCCATCTGCATTTGGCATATTTGGAGAAAATACTCTATTATCTATCCTATCTGATGAATTCAAAGTTTTATACATCTTTTAATATAACTTGTATTAGCATCCTAAAAATATCATTTTAGAGCTTAAAACATCTTTTCAGATAAACAGCATAAGCTTTTATGTTTTTCAACCTTATAAACTTTGTATTTCTAATGTAAGTTTTTGTGTGAATTTGGTAACAAGGAAAACTGTAACTATAACTATCTAGTCTTTAACTCCATCAGAGATCCGAGAAGGATAAACTATTACTTGAGTAAACAGGAAGTTCAGAGAAAGGAACTTCCAAAACTAAGATATGACAGAAACATCTAGCTGCCTGGACAGTCACCCCAAGGTTTCTCTGTAATGTCAGGGAATCCATCTTTGACCTAGGGCCTAAAATATCTGACAGACTTTTCTGTGAAGCAGGAATTTTTGAAGGATTGTCCTACCCTGTCTTGGCAAAGTTTGGCAGTTGCCTTCTTTTGTGTCCTGCTTGTCCAGTTTGGACAGCATACTGTCAGCAGTTGAGGAAGGGAAGTTTCTTACCCAAGTGGCTAGCTAGCCTTTGCCACAAAGAAAGCAAACTCTACATGGGGTTTCTTTGATGCCCATCATCCTTTTTGGAAGTAAATTGGTGCTGTTAGAAGCAGACATGTCTCACCATCAAGAAAAGTCTTATGTTATTAAAACATCTTAAATGCCACATTCTGTAAGACTCTGTAGTGTTTGAAGACCATCTGTCTATCTAAAATATCTCTCTATTTGACCTTGAAGACATACCTAACATGGCCACAAATTTGATAGTTATAGATGACTAACTACT